AAACAAGTGAAACTCACAAGAACAGTGTAACTTTGGTAACCACTACCTTGTTTACCTCTGACTATAAAAATAAAGGCTCAGCTTGTCTCAGGATCTTTCTCTGTGGCCTCAGCCAGGCACAGGACGATCCACAGAGACTAAAGAGAGCTAGAGAGTTCTGAACCTCCGCCCACACCTTTGGGAACCCCTGGACCGCTGGGGCTGGACCCGGCAATAAAGGACACTCTTCTTCCTTCAATGGAGATGTATTACTTCTGGAAGGAAGGTCAGAAGTAATGCACGGGAATAGCTCTGTGTATGTGCATGTGTGTGAGAGAGAGAGGCGGTGATGGAAGGAGAGAGGATGGTGATGGGGAAAAGGAAAAAGACATGATTCTGGGCCTTTTCACTGCATAATGGGGACATGAACCTTACCATCACCCCATGATAGGACAAGTCAAATTTATCTGAAAGAGTAAGCAGTGGTGGGTAGCTAGAGCCAAGAGTGTCAGGGAATTATAAAGAATAGTTAGTTATTTTTCACATTTTAACTGGTTTCAATAAACATTACATTGAAGTCTCTGGATTTTCTTTCCCTCTTCTGTAGAGACTTGTCTGGACAAATGAGAAATTATGTTAGGGACCAGGTAGTGATAAGACCCTTTCTGACCAGAATAGTGGATAGAAATAGATCCTTCTCAGGTATAATGATGCCTCTCTAGGAATAGGAACCATAGAAGTCTTGAACCCATAACCTTCCTGATCCCTGACACTGGTAACTACTCCCAAGTAAATAGAGCTTAGTAGACCCTCCCCACAGAGATGAATCTCTAGGTATTCCAGAAAAAGTTGTAGTTACACTTTACCTTTTGTTTGGATCAATCTTGTTAACCACCAACATGATGACTACATTATCACCTTTCTTCCTGAACATCATCTACCCATTTAGCTGTCTCTTTGAAATAATTAATGTATACAAGAGAATGTGTTTTACAGTGTTGAAACATTTAGTAGAGGTTTAGAGAGAATAAAGTATCTGTCCTTCCTCTCGCCTATTCCCACCAACCTCCCTATTGCTTACCTCAATCCCTTTTTCAAATAACACAGCATAAACCCCCCCCCTTGTGATGTCATAGACAACCCCTGCAAAAATTGAATCATAATGTAGCTAGGAATAAGGTTGCAAAAGTGCTCCTGGTCAGCTATGTCCCATAGCTGCAGTTGAACCTGCATAAAACAAAGGTGGAGAAAGATAGACAAGAAACTAGCCCTTTAAAGGGTAGGACTTAAATAAAGGCAAAATAAAAATAGTCAAGGAATCTAGGTCCCTGAAAACTGGCTACAAACCAAGTGACCTACCATCCCAGGACAGGTCCAATGTTATTATACTGTTTTTATTAAGGAAGACCCCATAGAGCAGCAGATTTAAGGATTCAAGGCCTCTTGGATTTTGTCTGTGTTACAGTTGAAGTTTAAATGAGGACATAGAGAACAAGAAACACGACAAGGTTGGTTCATACTTTTCTTCCCCTTTATCCATAAATAATCCGGGGTACTGAGAAATTAGTAAGGGACCAGGTAGTGATAAGACTACCCTATTGTGACCTGTATGCCCAAGGGGTTGAGATATAGGGTTAATGATATGAGAGTGAACACTCACTATTTAGTCCTCCAAGTACATTATCTTAGGAAGTCAATCCAATGGTTGCCTGCAAATAAAGCTACTTTGTATCCCCCTCCCCCAATACCAGGCAGCCTTAGAACTGTAGTGGAGAATGGCCCTTGAAAAGGTTGTCCTGCTCAACTTCTCAACACTTACAATAGATCACTTTGAGGAGAAGAATGCCTGGGTGAATGGCCAAGGAAGGGGGCAAAAATGTACCTTATGATGCCTTGGTGGAGGGTTCACCTGGCCAGTGCAGTTGAAGCTCTAGATCCGTGGTCGGCAAACTGCGGCTCGCGAGCCACATGTGGCTCTTTGGCCCCTTGAGTGTGGCTCTTCCTAAGCCTTAGGAGTACCCTAATTAAGTTAATAACAATGTACCTACCTATATAGTTTAAGTTTTAAAAATTTGGTTCTCAAAAGAAATTTCAATCATTGTACTGTTAATATTTGGCTCTGTTGACTAATGAGTTTGCCGACCACTGCCTAGATCATTGAAACAGGTGGTGATTGATGTCTTCCCCACTGTGAGGCAGAGGAGTAAACCATTTGTCACCCTGGGCGAACCAGAGAACACTCTACTCCATTCCATACTGTCACACCTCCTTATCCCCCAAGCCCAACGCAGACCTCCACCGTTCTGCTCCCGTAGGAACAGGAGTTTGGATTTACACAGAGACCTGTACTGGGTTCTCTCCTAGGTTTCCAGGCAGAAGACTCTCAGAGCTGTCAGTTCAACTGCTATTCAAAACACCTTCGGACCTGGGCACATAGCACTGTCCACTGGCAGGCAGTTCTAGCTGTTCCTTCCTCTGGGGCAATGGGAGATCACTGGGTGGGAGTGGGGTTGGGGGCGAGGATAAACAGCGCCTGAGGGAAAGTTGAAGGACCCACCAAGGGGGCGGCATGCCAGAAGGAAGTCAGGGGTCATTTAGGGGA